GTTGTTGTTGCTGCTGCTGTTGTTCAATAATCATGATTGTTGTTGTTGTAAGTGTGCAGAACACTGAACCTGAACAAGGGACACAGATTCATATCACTGTTTAGTTTTGAAGCTCACTTGGCAACCTTGAGCCAATCATTGTCTCTCAACCTAACTCTACCTCATTAGTTAACTGTCAAGACTAAAATAACACACATAACCAGCACCTCATAACAATGCAGTGAATAATGCCTGGACATCCTCTTATTCTTTCCAAACAAGTGCTTGACTTTGACTATCGACAACAGATGTAGGCCTAATTGGAGTGGGGATAAATCAGCAATGAAAATGAAGGGAGTTATACAATGGGCCTTGGTTCCAGGACTCCATGGATACCAAAATCCGTAAATGTTCATGCCCCATTAAATACAATGGTGTAGTAAAATTGTGTCCCTTAACATAAAATTGCAAAATCAAGCATTGCTTTTTTTAAAAAAATTATGATTTTTAAAAAATATTTTCAAGCTGTGTAAATGGCTGAATCTGTGGATATGGAGGGCCAACTGTAATGGCAAGATACAAGAAGATCAGATCTGGGCCACAGGCCTGAGGTTTTCTAGTCAAGAACACTGTCAGGATCAGAGCTCAATGGTGGAACATATGTTTTGCAAGCAGAAGGGTCCAACTTCAACCTGCCTTCTCCAGCTATGAAGATCAGGTAACAGATGATGGGAAAGGCTTCCGTTCAAAGCCCTGTAGAGCTTTTGTCATCCAGAACTGACAAATCATCCCCAAACTGGCATCCTATAGATATGTTTGACTCAAAGATTAGAAAAATTACTGTTTTGAACTACAACTCCTAAAATCCTGTATCCAGCATGACCAGTGCTCTGATTTGCAAGGTGTGGTTTGACATGACTCCCATCTTCAGTCAATACTGGTAGGTTATGCTAGTTATGGATAATAGGAATTATAGATGAACACACATCAAGTTAGGAAAGGTTGGACAATGCTGGACTAGATGTATAGATTATTTGACCTGGTATAATCCTCCATCTCAGCATCAGGACTAATCAGGACTAACTATTTATTATATTGAAAGTGTCATTGTGTCTTTCAAGATGTCTTTGGCACTGGAGAAACAAGATTCTTCATTCAGCCTCCATTTAATAGAATTGAATGCTATTGTTTCGTTTGAGTGCTATCCTCCAACACATCATTCTTTTTTCATATTGCTTTAATTATGATTTTAATTGTTTTTATTGTTTTAATTATTTTTATTGTCAGGTTTTATTATTTTTGTGAGCTTCCTTGGGTCCCACTCTGGAAGAAAGACAGTACAGAAATGAAATATATTAAATAATAAATAAATATGAAGTCATAGGCTTTCATGGCCAGCATCCATAGTTTTTGTGGGTTTTTTGGGCTGTGTGGCCATGTTCTAGAAGAAAGGAACTCTTCTAGAACATGGCCACACAGCCCGAAAACCCCACAAAAACAATAAATAAATACATCAAACTCAAAACCTAAGAGATTATTGGGTCCACAGAGAGGAGAGGATACAAATCAAGTAAGTTTCTTTTTAAAATCTACCCCAAAAATATTTCTTTTTTCCTGTGACTTCAATAGAGAAGTCAAATGAGGGTAGAGCTTTATAAACAATATGTGCTATCAAAGCAGAAATCTTGCTGAAACTGGTATTTTATTTGAGAACCAGTGGTTCTCAAATAGTGGGGCGGGCCCCCCAGGGGGGCGCGATGCTCCATAAAGGGGGGCCCATTACGGCTGGAGAGAGGGAGATTGTCCCAGCGCAGCCCCAGTAGCAGCCCAATGTGCTCTATCCTGATTGGTCAAACCCGCCCATGTGACTATTTACAGTCGCGTGGGGGGGGCGCAAAATGTTTTCTTCTTTCCTAGGGGGGGCGTGACAGAAAATAATGGAGAAGCACTGTTTTACACAAACACACACCTACTTCACATTAATTTAATGACAGGCAAGGAAGTGGATTAATTTGCTTCCTTAGGCTTATCTCCAAGGGACTGGGATGGGAGCGCCACAGTGCTGGACTCCATAATATTCTGTGGATGTTTCGATATTTCATATCCTCTTTTTAAATGTTTGAAAGGAGTATTTGCTGAATTTTGAACGTCTTTTTTTTAAAAAAAATTATTATGAAAATCATAACAAAGCTGAGCATAATTAATAATAATAATAATAATAATAACAATAATAATAAAAAATTATTTTTATCCCACCCCTCTGCATAATGCAACCTGGGCGGCTTCCAAAAATACACTTCATATTCCACAATCCCACCCACCCCTTAAAATACCATTAAACAATGAACAATTTAAAACATACTTAAAATAAAATACAAATAAACAAATAACAATAATTGCAGCAGAGTCAAGGGAGCAGGTTGGGCTGTCTCTTGATGGGCGGGATATCTATTCAGGAAAGGCCTGCTGGAAGAGATCCGTCTTAACAGCCTTTTTAAAGCTGTTCAAGGTGGTAATATGACGGATCTCATCCGGCAGGCCATTCCATAATCTGGGAGTGGTTGCTGAAAAGGTCCTCTGGGCGGTTGCAGACAGCCTAGTTTTTATAGGCTGCAGCAGATTCTTCCCAGAGCACCTGAGTGTGCGGAGTGGATTATACAAGAGGAGGCGGTCCTGAAGATAGGTTGGACCCAAGCCATTTAGGACTTTAAAGGTGATGACCAACACCTTGTACTGGGCCTGGAAACTAATGGGCAGCCAGTGAAGTGATCTTAAGATTGGTGTTATGCGGTCTCTTCTCGTTGTTCCTGAAACTAACCTGGCTGCCATATTCTGTACTAGTTGGAGTTTCCGGACTAAGCATGAGGGTAGCCTCATGTGAAGCGTATTACAGAAATTGAGATGAGAGGTTACCAGCGCGTGCACCACAGTTACAAGGTCCCTAACTTCCAGGGAAGGGTGCAGCTGGCGTATCAGCCGAAGATGATAACAGGCACTCCTAACCGTTGCATTTACCTGATTTTTCATCTGAAGTGACAGATCCAGGAGCACCCCCAGACTGCAAACACAGTCCTTAAAGGAGAGTGTGACCCCATCCAGGACTGGAGGTTGCAACCCAATACCTGGGTTTAGGGCCACTACTGTAAGTACCTCTGTTTTGTCTGGATTCAGTCTCAATCTGTTTTTCTTCATCCAGTCCATTACTGCTTTAAGACAATCATTAAGAGGGGGGACACCATCTGAAGTCACAGCTGAAGACCAAGACATGGAGAAATATTTCTGGGTGTCATCAGCGTACTGATAGCACCTTGCCCCATGTCTCCAGATGATCTCTCCCAGCAGCTTCATATATATATATATATATATATATATATATATATATATATATATATATATATATATATAGAATAGCATCGGGGACAGGATGGCCATTGCCATCTACTTTAACAAAAAAATAGCAACACACTATGCTACTCATTTTTGAATATACATTTCCTTTTTTAAAGAAAACAAAAAACCAAACATGATTATTAAGAGAATGGTATAACATATGAAAAAAATCCATTCAGATCGCTTCTTTTAAATGCTGCAAGAAAATATTGAATAAACAAAACTATTTTAAAACTGCATATGACATTCCATTACCCCTTTTGTAGGAAAAAGTAATGTTATAGCTACTGATATATGACATATTACTTCAGTGCAGTGACTCAAAAGAAACAATACAAAACAGCACAGTACAAAAATACAGATTAGGCACATCTGCTCAAAACTTAAAGGGACAACTATGGGCAGCACATTCTGAGAGCATTCAAAATCCGTCCCTTAGTATCTAGTAGCTCCAGTAATGGATAATTGATGACAATCACAAAAGCTTTCCTTTGCCAAAATAGTCCCATTACCGCTTCACATTTACAGGAGGAAATTAACCATAAAAGAAATGTTTGAAGTTTTGATTACACTGCAAAAGGAGTAAATTATCCCTTTTAAAATTACAATGATAATAAAATTAAGGCTTCATAGCCAACGTGTGACCAAAGGCCTCATATTCAACGGAGAAATATTGCAGTTTGACACTGCTTTAACTCCTATGGTTAAATGCTATGGAATTCTGGGATTTATAGTTTTGTGAGATATTCAGCTTTCTCTGTCAGAGAGCTCTGGTGCTACAAAAACCTACAAGTCCCAGGACTCCATTACACTGAGCCATGACAGTTAAAGCAGTGTCACACTGCATTATTTCTGCAGTGCAGATGAGGCCTTAATCACACCTTGGTTATCGGGAAAGGAACTAAATACAAGCAACTTCTCCAAGTATTTGTATCCTGTAGTTTATAACTGGTCTATGAAAGAGTGGGCAGAAGGTAGTTTGGGGCCTACTGAAAGCATGACAAATATAGGTAAAAAGTATGACAGAGATACTGTTGGGCTACTAAACTAAAATAAAAATCACTGGATTAGAATTCAGAGACATAGCCATGTTAGAATGTAATATCAGTATGCAAAGTGATCTTCTAGCACCTCTGAGATTGTATGAAAGAAGTTGCAGATAAGCTTTGGTAGATTTGGCCCACTTCCCCAAATGCATCTTCCTCAGATTGCCTTCTTAAAAAGGCAATCATACATTTGAGGTCTATCTGAGGCCTGCTTCCTCAGATGCATCTGAGGAAGTAGACCAAATCTACAAAAGTTTATGCTACAGCTTCTATCACACAGTTAGTCTCAAAGATGCTGGATCCCCTTGCATAAAAATCACTGTAGATTTGGTTGAGCTTTCTCAGAGGTTGGATAAATATGGTCCCTAGTGCAGCCAACTATTCCATGAGCACACTTTTGATTTGGTGGGTTAGACGATAATCAACCTAATAGATAATCAACCTAATAGCACAATGGATGAGCCCAAGGCCGGGGCAAATATTGCTCAACTGATTGAAGAACTGTAAGATTCATCAAAACTATATCGTTATTTAGTGGGCCATAAACTGTATTGAGAAGTATTTTAAGAATCAGTATTAATTCAAGCCAGTGTGGTGTAGTGGTTTGAGCACTGGACTATGACTCTGGAGATCAGGGTTCAATTCCCTGCTCAGCCATGGTAACCCTCGCGGTGATCTCGGGTGAGTCACACAATCTCAGCCCTAGGAAACCTTGTGATAGAGTCACCTTAGAGTCGCCATAAATTGGACACAAGAGTTAATCCCAGAACCATCCAGATGTGCCTAGAATTGAGGTTTTCACTTAAAAGATGATTTAGGTATACTAAAAATCAAGGGAAAAGCCACATTAATATCTATGAAATTATTGCTGTTCATATCATACAAACTGGAGGGATTTTTTATGGGTTATAAACTTCAGCAAAGCCAAATGGCACAACTATCTGATGTTGACCTCAAGGGCAAATGCATGATTGCCTTTTTAAGAAGATAAGTGCAACATCAAGAAGGATTCCAGCAGACAGATTCAGTTTCAGAAGGAAATGTCAAAGAGCCTTCTGCACTAGTGTTTTTTTATAAGTTTTCAAAGCTGATAGCCGCTAGCTATATACTGTGTAGATGGAAGACAGATGGACATATCAAGAAAAGACAGGTCACTGGGTGACCAATGAGGAATTCTGTATCAGAGAAATTGGAAACCCACAAGGGCATTAGTAATTGTAATGCATGAAAAAGGAAGAGTGTTATTCAAAAGGATGGGTGCAGTCTCAGAAGCAATTTACAGCTGATTTATCATGGGAAAGTTATGAACAGAGGTCATATGGCTGCAAGCTTTCCAGTTCACCAGTCATAGATAGATGGTGATATACTACAGAAATAATCATGCATCCCAGCAGCAAAGGTGGTAAAGACACAGGGCCAGTTTGAAGTGTGTCTTTAGACTGGGGGGAGTCATTTAACTCAAAGGTGATATATGTATATGTGTGTGAGAGAGAGACAGAGAGACCAACTGGTGTGGCACATATGGGATATGATGCCTGGTGCACTCTCACCTCAATCTACCAGATATTCCATCTGGTCCTTGCTTGAACTTATAGGGAGTATGGAGCATGCTACCAAGATAAAGAAATTCAGGGATACAGAAAATATATAAAATGGAATTTAAAACAATAATTTAAATAAAGTTTGTGTATCAGAGAAAAGAGACAAAAACAATTATACATTTGCCAACACTGATCCAAAAGAAACATTAAACAAAGCAGCTTCATTTATATACCACTTCATATCACACTATGGGATGTCTAAGCGGTTTACAACTGTAAGCTCATTGCCCCCCAATACTTGGGTACTCATTTTAGCAACCTCGGAAGGATACAGGCCTTAGTCTAGCCTGAGCAAAAGAAACAACGTTGCAGGGGAGACTTGAAGCTATGTGGCGAAGGCACATCTCAGGAAGGAGGGTGAGGAGTATTCGGCTCAATTCTTTGAAAGAGTCCTTCACCTCTCTCAGACTGAGAGTCCTTCCTTGCTGTGAAGAAAAGTAGGAATCCAGTTGTGCCCCTCTCCTCCCTAGCAAAGAAAGACTGAGAGTCCTTCCTTGCCAGGAGAAGCTTCTCCCTTCCAGTCACCTTGGGAGCAGCAACCAAGTAGCCTCTTGCCCACATTTGCCTTTGCTGCAAGGCTAACATAGGTGAGAGGCTTCTTAGTCGCTGCTCAGCCAGCTGCTTGCTTGCTGCTCCCAGGTTAACTGGGTGCAAAGGGAGCAGCAACCAAGCAGCCAGTTGAGCAGTAACCAAGAAGCCTCTTGTTTGTACTGGCCTTTGCTCAGATGCTATTCCTTTTACACTTGGTCACCCTGGCAACAGCAACCAAGCCACTGGCCAGCCAGGTTTCCTTTTGCTGTGAGCAAGAGGAAAGAGGAGGCACTGCTGCTGCTGTAACCATCCACAAGAATCTGAAAAGAAGGAGGAGGTGGTGGCAAGTTGGGAGTGGCTGAGACAGACATCAGTGGCTGACTAGCTCGCTGTTGCACAAACAGTAGACCCAATATCAAGAAACAGGTAGTGGGGGCAATAGGGTTGTTTCTGAAGAGGAAAGGGGGCAGTAGACAAAAAATGTTTTGGGCCCACTGTTTTGATACCTTAATCCATGTTTTGTTATTTCCTGTATAAAGCATGCTTTCATTTTGTACAGACCCCAGGATGCCTCCACTCCAAGCTTCATGTCAAAAGGTGGACAATAGGGTGACACAAGCCCTTTTGAGTATTGAAAATTAATCTATCAATTTGGTTTTTCCTTACATTCAAACCTTTTAAACCTCAAGTTCTTTCTAACTCAAATATGAAATCTGCAAATGGACTCTCTTGTCATGGTCCAGAAGCTGCAGGACTGGGACCCAGAGGAAAAGTCTGATGAGGAGGCGAATCTTCCAGACAGAGAACAATCTGTAGCTCTCCCTGTTGCAAAGCAGCCTCAGCCAGCTCTCCCTGCTGAAGAACCTCAGCCAGTTCAACCTGTTGAACTGCAGCCTCAGCCAGCAAGACAAAGACAAGATTCACCTACTGATGAGGCAAAGGACACAGCTGAGGTCCTAAGTCCTCAATCAAGTAGGAGGGACAAAAGGATACAACAAAGAATACAACAAAGATGTTCACCCAGGCTGTGGGCCAAGCAGCAATAGAGAAGCTCTGATTGGGACCAGCTGATATCAAGCCGTTTAAGAGCTGAGTCTGCTTAAAGTGAGTCCTGATCAGCATTCCTGTCTCTGAAACCTTTTCCAGACTTAATATTTCCTGACTCCCTGGCTTCTTCATGTTGGATCATGTTGACCTTGATTCTTGTTGCCTCCCTTGACTTGGATTGCTTTGATTAATGCTTTTCTTCTAATGGACTCCCACAGGCTAGGATGCTTTCTAGTTGCTGGTAATTTAGACTCTGCCTGCACTACCAGTCAATGGTTTACCCCCCCCCCCCAGCCAGCCTGTTCAGGTGTTTGGTGAATCAAGACATCTCCCAAGGTTGACCAGTGAGTTTCATGACTGAATGGTCACTTTAAAAAGTTCTCACACATGCACCAAGTTCTTGTCCAAAACCCTAACTACAACACCATTCTGGATTTAAGACCACTCCTGTTCCAAAATACAGGTGTTGACATACATCAGATAGAACTCGTTTTTCCTTTTGGCTCATCTTAATATTCCTAATCTGCAAGCTTTGCCTCAAGGACAGCCTTGGCTAGCTTGATATTTCTGTGACACTTGGGTCCTTGATGGAGCAAAACAAACCCTTCAGTGGTTACTCTGACAACAACTTTGTCTTTCCATATTGGAAGTGTTTAGTAATTCAAAGTTACAATGAGAGAGGTAGAAGCCTAACCAAGACTGCAAAGAGAACTAGTCTAGGGAAGAGACCTGTGAAAATCGATTATTCTATGTTCCTTACCTACTAATTGGTGCTGAGGCTGCAGGCAGAAGCCTGGTTGCTGTGATGAGTAATCCAGTAGGCACTTTAGGAATGAGTGCACAGATGTTTGATGCCTAAACTGTATTGAGTTGGGATTTAATTGCTCCATAATCACGAAGTAAACACTTGCCAGTTGCATTGATCATGTTTCAAGTCTGATCTAAACAGCACTTTATACATGAGAAAATTAAACTTCAAAAGAAAGCTAACACATGCAAAACCCATGGGCAGAGAACCCACCCACATGCACTCCTTCTTACAATAATTAAAAATTCACCTCTGTTGGACTGTACTTTTTGGTACTTTTTCCAGGTACAGCTTAAAATCTCTCCTCAACACATCAAAACCAAAAAATCCTGTATCCAGAAATTAGTACAGCTTTGCAGAAAAGGAAGGACCTTGGCCTTCTGGGATGAAATAACCTCTCAACATTTCATGAAAACTTGCATAACTTGAAAACATTGTATTTTTGAGCTATAATAGCCAGAAACCATGGGGGGAGCTGGGAGCTGTAGTCTAAAAAGTAACTTTTGTGAGCTCTGTTCAGTTCCTACATCAATTTGTATTGCTCAGGTCACCCATACACTTACTTTTACTTGTTTCTGACAATTCTGCTTCACTTCTCTTTTGGTATACTCTGCAGTACTTTATCCATTTATTTACAAAACAAGAAGGTTAAATACACAATTGTTCAAAAAGATACTGTCAAAAACACGTATCCCAGTAGCTTCTATATGGGAAATGACAAGATGGGCACTTTATGTTTATATATTACACATACATTTATTTGATGTGCACTAGATATGAGATACATCCATTATACATTAATTTAACTTTTAGAGATGTGAAAGAAGAAAAGAGACAGAAAAACGTAATATCTAGAATACTGGGCCATACTTTTAATTCACTATCTTATTTTCAAATACAATTGAGTCCAACTTCTTATTCTACTATTAGGTGGTTTTATTCAATGCAATTAGGTTGGTAGAAGTCATGGGACAGGAGAGAAGAAATGGAGAAGGAAGGAAAAGGTGAAGAAGTAAGAAAGAAAAAAATGACAAAAAAGTAAAACAATCCAATGGGTTGAGCACAGTTCTTTGTTGCTGTTATGTACCTCCAAGCTGCATTTGACTTATGGCAACCTTATGGAGGGTTGTTTTTCATCTTGCCACTTGAACGTACTTGCAGCAACCGGGCAAATTACTTTCCCCTTCCAATGCCACCGAAACATTCTTATGTAAATATGAAGACTCTGGCAATAAATGTGTATTTAGAAGTCCCTTCCATGGATTCATGGACTCAAAGTCCAGTCTGCCTAAAATAGAATGCAGCTACCTTTTATTATTTCTGAGGGAAATGAATGACACTAATTGTTTTCATAATTCTTAGTGCTCAGTCTAAAGAGATAGGGATAGGGAACCACAACTTTTTCACCAGGGTCCATGTGTCCATGGTTTATAGGGTCTAAGTGAAGGATAAGGATTCTGATTAGCTTCCTACAGGAAATTGTTTGTCATCTGTAGAGTAGCTGCAGTTTTATCATCTGTAGAGTAGCAGCAGTAAGAAGAATCCTGGAGGGTCAGTTGCACTTTGAGCATCTGGACCAAATTTATTTCATAGAATCATAGAATCATAGAGTTGAAAGAGACCACAAG